GCAGAGGCTCCTGGAGGAGGCAGGCTGCTCTCTTGTGCACAACCACGTCACTGAAAGCCTGATCACTTAATTCCAAGTCACTAAAACCCTGACCCTATCCTGGTGGCTTGAGAGAAACTGCCACAGAGCAAGTGGGGGAGGGCCAGGAGGCTTGATTATTCTGCCATATTCTTAGGCTTTAGGCCTGCATATTGGAAGAAACCAGCCTCTTCAGAGGTGAGCTCTAGGGAAAATCATCCTGGACTGGTGGGAGTCATGAATGTGATGGTCACCCTCAGAGCCACCTTCCACAGGGGACAGCCACACGTGCATGCTGTGCAGGCTAATGAAACACACCTACTGGATCCATGTTACTTCACCTGAAAGGACCTGCTGGCTGCAGTGTGTGGGACTTTTCCTTCCCCTTCACCCCCTCTTACTAGACCTCTCTGCTCACCACACAATGCCCAAGCACCTACTCTGCCAGGCATTGTTGGAAGCTGGGCACACAAAGGCAAATCCTCTGGGGCTTTCTTGTGCCAGCCACAGGGATAGGGATTCCCTGGAAGCAAGCCAAACATCTTTGCCATTCTCTCCTCCTCTAGAGTCTGGATTTCTGTTGGCAGCTAGGATACCGATGCACCCTGCCAGGGGCCAGGGCACTCTAGGTTTACTCACACACTCCTTTCTGTCCATATTATACCCGAACTTTCAATTTTGAGGAGTAAATATACAATTTTTTTCTCCCTGTAATTTTCCCTGCTGTGGTTGTGGATGTCAGAGCAGCTGGAAAATGTGAATAGCTCAGTGCTTTTAAAAGTAAAAGGAGGCCTCGGCCACACAGCCTCATGCATCCTTGGCTACTCTTGGCAAATTCTAGCAGCTCTTACTGGAGGGAGATGGTCTCCAGATTGTACTGTTAAGGAAAATTTTAACCCAAATAATCCATTTCCTTACCTTCTAGTAGCAACTAGATAGTTGCCCTGAACTGTGTGCCTGTATATACGGACATGCATGCATGTTGCATGGTGTTAGTGGAGGAAGTAAGGTGAATGCATTTGCTTACACAGCCAAACTTTCTGCATATTCCTCTAGAGACTCCCAAACCTTCATATCTCAGTAACTGAAGGTGAGGACAGTCTGATCTAAGCTTTTGTTTGGAAAACACAGTGGCTGGGATGGAGTGAGAAAGGATTTGAGTCAGGCAGATCTGGGATGGCTCATATTTACTGTGTAACCTTGGCATGTTTAGTCTCCCTGGGTCTTAATTTTGTCAACTGTGAAAACAGAGAGGTGGACTTTGAGACACGCTGCTGAGATTTCTTCAAGTGAGGACTTGCTGACCACCCACAGGACATGTGGTCAGCAGACAGACTCAGCTGGAGCAAAATGCCTCAGCTAAGGTCATACCCTGCCCGGGGCAACCCCTTATGCAGCCATGAAGGAAGCTGAAGATACAAAGATGCAGCCATTTCTTCCTGCTGCAGGACACTTGGACAGGGAATGCTTGCTCCAGGGCCTCTCCTGCCTACAGCAGCTTCCTTCCTTTTCTCCTTCACAGGTGCAGGTCCTTAATAAACATCTTGCACCCCCAAACTCCATCTCAGCATCTCCTCACAGAGAACCAAACCTGTGACAAGTAAGGATAATGATTTTCACTTCAAGAGGTTATTGTGCGAAAGCTAAATGGGACGTTTCTATAGTATCCAGTGTAGTGTCTGAAACATTAACAAAGCATGATAATATCTATTCCTGTCACTTTCCTTCCTCTATAAACTGAAAGTCTTTTCTAGACCTTGATCTGGTGTTTATAACCTATGTTCTATAAAATGAGTTTGGAAAAAGCCCAGCGAGGAAAGTGGCCCTGAAAGTGTGCTGCAACTAAATCTGAGATGCTGGCTGGGGCTCTGGAGCCAGTCTTGTCCCTGTGAAGTTCATTATCCTTGGATCACGTCAGCCCTCTTCAAGGATCCTCACCAAAAAGAAATTGAGCATGCAAATACTCTTCTGTCATAATCACCATGTATCCACAGGGTAATTCATAAAAGAGCTGGAAATATATTGAAATTCAATATTGTTTTAGTCCAAATCAATATTAATAATTGTTTGCATTTTTAAAGTGCAATTTGCAATTGAGAAATGCACAAAGATCAACCAGTAGTTGCTAACACATCAAATTTTCCTATTAAAGGCATAATCCCTTAACTTTAAAATGTTTCTTATACAACAGGATGGTGCTGATCCATGAAAATGGTTGTCTATTATTTATGTGCACAACATTAGTATTTGTTTCCATTATGCATGAGCTGAAAGGTCAGTGATTTTAATTTTAGGTTCTTAATTTTTAAAAACTTTTTATTTTGAGATAATTATATATTCACATACAATTTTAAGAAAGAATACAGTAAAACCCTGTGAATTTCAGTGAGACTAAACATGCATATTAGAGTTCCCCTAATAGTAAACCATGCAAAATTATAGTGCAGTATCACAATTAGAGTGTTGACATTGATGCAGTCAAGATAGGGTATATTTCCATTACAGCTCAGGTCCTAATTTGCCCTTTGAACGCTTTAAAACTTAAAGATTTTTAAATGAAAAGTGTAGCTGTGGATACAGTAGGATCCTCCATCATCCACTCTATTTAAATTTCTGCCTCAAAATGATTTCTATCATTAAATGGGACCTCCATGGGCCAAGGGTAGGTGAGTTCCTAGATGTGGGTAGCCCCAGGTGGGACCCACCTCTGCCAGGTAGGTCTTAGGTGGAGGAACATGGCTGTGCAGATCAGAAAGAATCTGTGCATACAGTTTCAGCTAAACACTTGCAGCAGGGACTTTGATTCCTCAAAAAAGGACAGAACAGCTTGGCAGGGTTCACTTGGTCCATAGGGACCCAGCTTTCTGTGGAATAGCACTTCTTGGAGTGTGGAACTCTGGGTCACACACCTGGCAGTCTTCCTGGGATTGCGGAATGGCAGTGACCTAGATCCACGGTGAGAGACAGGTGGCAAGTGTGAGTGAGGGACACTGGCTCCAGAGGACCACTTGCTCTGCCTGAAGTGGCATCATATAAATGAAATTCACAAGCTGCCTTTCTGTTTTCTGAGACATTTGTCTCACACTAGAGCTGGAAGGAACTTGGGAACTCGTCTACAGTGGCATTTTGGGATGAGGACTGATGCTGAGAAAAGACAAATCAAGTCCTGAGGGTCCCACAGCTGGCTGGAAGGAATGCCAAGCCCAGAACCTGGAATTCCCTCTCTGAGCCTGATGTTTATTCCATGATATCCACTGCTTGGTTCAGGCTGCCTTTGTTGATTTCTTTTTATTGTAGTAAAGTACATATAACAAAATTTACTAATTTAACCATTTTTAAGCATGCATTTAGTACATTCATATTGTTGTACAATCCTCATCACTGTCCATCCCCAGAAATTTTTCTTCTTCCCAGACTGAAACTCTCTGCTCATTACATGTAACTCCCACCCCTCCTCGCAGCCCCTTGTAACCTCTACTTCTACCTGCTATGTCTGGGAATTTCATCTCTCTCGGTATGTCATATAAATGGAGTCATACAGTGTTTATCCTGTTGTGACTGGCTTGTCTCACTTAGAGTATGTCTTCCAGGCTCACCCCTGTGTTTTCATTGACTTTTGATCAATACATTCAAGCTGTAATTTTGTTTGGGGATTTCCTAGCATTTCACTATATTTGAGAACTTTGGAGATCATCAGTTTTATGGCAGATAAATGACTTATGTATTTGTTTGTGCATCTATAATGAATGTTGATATATGCGTATATAGGGAGATAGAGTCCATGTTTACCTTTAAAATTAAATTAGCCTTCAAGTGCCATGACTTCACTCTCTCATACAACCGGAGGGTACAAAGTGCCATCCTGGTAGAGAACATGCCTTGAGTATTTTCAAGCTGTCAGATTTCTGCAGGGGGATGGTAGGAAGGATCTCACTTCCTGCCCCTGCTGCTGTCTTCGGATTGGGCTGCTCTTGGGACCAGATTCCAACCAAGACCTGATCAAAACAAACCCACAGCTCCCTGGAACATAAATGACCTTTTTAAAATTCCAACCTCATGGAGTGCCTCTCTCCTGATGGCCTCCAACACTTCTCTCTATTAACTCATGCTCATTCCACATGCAGCAGAGGTTATTGATCACCTTCCTTGTGCCAGGCACTGTGCTAAATGCTGGGAATACAAAGATGAGCAGAGGCTTTGAAGCAGCTCCACAGGCTCTGAGTCTGGCAGTAAACACTGTCCATGTGTGGGGGAAGGGCCAGCGCCCAGGCTCACAGAGTCAGAGGATTTGGGGTCCTGAGTGGGTATTCCAAACTGCCCAGGTCAGAGAGAGGAAGGACTCACTTTTTTTTTTTTTTAAGGATTCACTTTCTGTACCTGCGGAGATGGTATCCATGGTGTGGTCCTACTGCTAGTAGTAGTCAGTGACCTGGGGCTCTCAGTACCCTGTCACTGCAGCTCTGTGATTGCAGGTTGGTGGGAGGCTGGGCTGAACTGTTCTGAGGACGATTGTTGGGACAAGACTTTGAGGGTGTTTGAACCTGATTTATGCCTTGGCCTCCAGTTTAAGAGGCCTTTTCTCTGCCCTGCAGAGAGCATAGCAAGATTGAAGGGAACCCTATGTTGTAACAGGCGGTGAATGGATAGTGGGCAAATTCCCATGCCTAAGAGTAGGGTGCAGCCTGGAAGACCTGCTCGTCCCAGGGGCTGGGCCCTGGGGATTTCAGGACCCAGGCCAGCGACCCGGGGCCCTGTGCTTATCCTGACTTAAGAGCAGTTCTGAGTCTGCAGCCCTGCTTCAGAGTCTGAGCACTCCAGGCCATCCGTCATCCTCAGAGAACACTGCAACTTTATGCCTACGCATAAAAACTGGAGGGACGCGTCCCAGAGTTTGCCTCCGCCGCCGCCGCCGCCGCCGCCGCCGCCGTTAGAGCGGTTTAATTAGCTGCAGGATTTTAATGAGCTGAAATCAAGAAGAGCCCTATCTCAGAAGTAAGCCTGAGCGGCACAAGGAAGAACTAGTCTGACAAAACAGATGGAGGTTGTGTTCTCTGGGGACTGGGCTGTGTGCTCCTCCGATCGGTGAGCAGCAGATGAGTTCCCAAGGCCAGGAGGCTGAGGAGAGAAGCCGAGGTCAGCTACCAGTGCCTGGCTGCAGCAGGGGGAGAGCTGGGCTCTGGGACCCCTTTGCCGCTATGGCAGAAGGCACAGTGCCGGATTCAAGGTGACGGCAGTGCCGGCTCCATTCTCCTCAAGTTGCCATAGCAGCCTCTCTCCCGAGCAGCTTCTCCTGGAGCCCTCAGCTGGGAGGGACGTCATTGTTAGCGCCTGCCCGTGTGAGGAGGAGACAGACGGACAGAGAACTTTCCCGGGCCCAAGGCCTGCTGACCACGTGGGTGCACCCAGCTGCTTGGAGCAAGCATGTGGAGGGTGGCTCCCCACAGTCAGAGGGTCCTCTGGGTGACTGGGGTGAGTGTCCAGGCCTTGGAGCAGCCACAGCTGAACGTGTCCTTGGAGCCGTCCGTGCATCCGGCTGTCGCCACTGGAGGTGCGTGTGTTTTGGCTGAATTCCCAAGTCCTTGCTTGTGCCCTAAAGTCAATTTCCCCGAAGAGACAAATTTTTAAATCAAATAAATGAGGAAATGGGAGGAATTTTTGGCCCTGCCCTGGGTCCCAGAGGTGTTTACAAGATTAATTGGATCTTTTCCTCATCTTCTTCTTTTCTTTTTTTTTCCTTAAAGTTAAAACTGGTGACGCCATTCTGGCCTCGGGGAAAGAAGCCGCTGGGAAGACTAGGAATTTTGAGGAGGGCAGGAGCCTCTGGAAACTCAACAGGGCTGTGTGTTTTTCTTGCTCTATGCCTCCCCCTTATTTGCAGCCAGCAGTTTGAGTGTCCTTATTGTCTGTTGGTCTTGGAAGGGAGGGGAGGAGAGATTGCACCTGTCACTGGAGCAGAGCGTGGCGTTGTGCTTGGTGAGCTGTGGTTGGTGAGTGTGGGGTGGTTCCAGGTGGGAACTGAGGCCTGTGAATGTATTAATGGGGCTCCAGGGAAGGCCGGACCCCACCTGTGTCAGATGATAGCAGCCATTCCCCAGGCACAGCTGGACTCGAAGGAGAGGGAGGTGAATGGGCTTTGGATTGGCATCTCCCCATTGTCTTAAAAATGCCTTGTGACTTTGAGGAAAAGGACTCTCAGGAAACAGTGGGTATCGGAGGTGCATCCTCTCTGAAGTGCACATCTTTGGTCTGTTGAGGACCTCCTGTCCACTCCCCAGTTTTGGAAGAAGGAGGGTTCTATAGAGTCCAGGATATCAGTCCCTTTCTGGGTATTATAGACCCAGCCAGACCGAGAGCCACCCAGGAGAAGGGCTGGCCTTTTGGTTCCTGCATGCATGGAGCTTGGAGTTGCTCAGGTGGTCCCTGGTGAGAACAAACAGAGAAGAGGCTCCAGAGGGAAAGGCTGAGTTTGGGGTGTGAGGGGCTGAATGGGGAAGCCAGGAGCGACTCTAACAAAAGCTCCCTGAGTGTGGACAGGGTGCTTGTTCTCTTGAGAGTCTTGGAAATGACAGATTTACACAGCTGATTCTCCTGCCACTGTGAAGGTACAGGACTCCCTCGTGCAGTGTTCAGAAAGCTAGGACAGGTTGTGGCTGCAGGACCCTTTTAGTCATTGACAAGGGAAGTCCGTTCTTCTGGCTCAAGTGATGACAGTGTGACAGATTAGGGAGGTGAGGAAACCAACCAGCTTTCTGCAGCACCAGCTACTAAACAAACAAGATGATAATCACACGTGCTTCTGAGCCGCCTTTGTTCATCAGGTAGTATTTGGGCCAATACTGGGGGACATGTTATTGGCCACTGGCAGCTCTGTGTGCTTGCCATAACTTGTCCTTCCTTCTCCTTCCTCTCTCCATTCCTGTCTCCCTCCTTCCAAAGTGTCTTGACATCAGAGATCACCTACCTTTGATCAAATTGGCTTCTGACTTAAGAGGCCACTGGGGCTGTGGGAAATGTGTCAACATTGTGCATTGGGGGGCATCTAAGGATTCTCTGTGGTGTGTGTAGGCACTCACCAGCACACACCCAGGCCTGGGTGTGTATACGTGTTAGAGCACATGCACCTGTTCCAATCGATGGCTGGAATGTGTGTGTGCGAATGTGAGAGAGAACTTGAACTGCCTCCCCCACTCCCTGTCTGAAAGTCTGGCTTCTACTGCTTCAGTTTGTAATGTCATTTCCATTCTTCTAACTCCTTTTCAGCTCTGCCTGGGCATCCCAAGGGGCTAAGCCAGCTGCTTAAGGGACATAGAATAAGGGTGGGAGAGAGCAGCAATCCTCAGTAGTTGCTTTTACTTCCCCAGGAGCTGAGGGCTGGTCCTGCTGGTCCTGGGACACTGCATGCTGTGCCTGTCATCACTGAGGGAAGTGGTCCGAGTCTGTAGGGTATCAAGGTGTGCTATCAGCAACATTGAGCCTAGCCTTGTGAGCCTAGAGCCTGCACTGTGCACCTGTGTCTTTGCAGGACAATGAATCAGACCCACAGGACAGTCTCATCCAGGGATACTACCAAGCAAGAGGCCCTGCTTCCTGAGGGGCTCCCAGTCTGGGCCTTTGGGGACATATAGTGGTCTATCTTCACCCACTATGAGCAGGGCGGGTATGGCCCTCATTGATAGCAGGAAATAGCAGTCTTGGGGTGGGGGGAGAGCCACTGCACTGAGGTCAGGACCTGCCTGAAACCCTGGAGCCAGCTGCAGATACAAAATGAGCCCAGCTCAGTGCTGCCTTCCAAATATAAAAGCTGGGAGGTCGTGGGAACCACCTACTCGGCACAGTCCAGAGAGCCCAGCGCCAGGCGCATAGAGGCCTGAGGCAGGTTAATTAAAGTTAACTGAGTGAAAAAATAATTACAGAGACTGCAGAGGGGAGAAACCCAAACCTGCAATTGATACTTCTCAGCCCCTGAGCTTTCCTGAGAAGCAATATAGTTCTTGGGAATTTTTTTCCTGGGCAGGGGAGGAGGGACAGCCCTCTTTTCGTCACTGTCTGCCTCATGCTCTACAGCCTGGGCATAGAGAGATGGGGGGCGTGCTGCTTCCTTTGTGTCTCAGGGCCTGGGCAGGGAAATATCTTTGTGTTGAGCAGCACATCCGGCCTGGGACCAGACTGGCCTCCTAACAAATCTTAGAGGCTTCTGGGAGCTGCCCTGGTAACCTCAGCATCCCTTGGGCATTTCCCTGTGCCAGGGTGGCAGTGGAGGTGGAAAGGAGATAATATCCCTAGGTTTAGGCCAGTAGGGCCAGGTGAAGGTCTGGGGACAGAGGGACCTTGCTTCAGAAAGGAGGTCCCTGAGATACCTGCTGCTCCTCCGAACCCATCCCACCCACCTCCAGCCCACTGCAGGAACTGGCCTTCACTGCAGCAAATGGCCTTCAGATGCCCCTTCTCCCTTGATCCATAGCCTGGCCCACGTGGGAATCCCTGGTTGGTATTTTAGGGCATTGGGCATTTCTTTTGCCCTTCAGAGTGAGGGACAAATCACATGGATATGTTCTGGGTCTGCAGGGGCCAGAACAGCAAGGACAGATGTTAGTGCTTAACCTCTGAACCTTTGAGCCTTTGAGTCTGGGATCTGAAAACTGCAGGTCTGACTGCCCAGGCCAAGGGTCTCGAGTACTGGAACAACCAAGGTCTGGCCAGAGCTTCTGTTCCTGCCCCTGTGGCTCTCCAGTGGGACTTGAATCCCTCCCACCCGTCTTTCAGTCTGTTAGTGAGGACAGGTCTGCCTGGTATGGGAGGAATCAGTCTGCTCTTGAACAGACTGGCTCTGGAAGGCTCCTTCTTAAAGCCCTCCACTCCCAGCATCGTGTGAAGAGGATCCAGGGTGGAGGCAGATCTATCCACCCAAGCAGTTAGTTCCCAGGACTTATATTTGCCCTAGTACCTAGATCTCTGCCCAGGGAACACACATGCTCCTTCCAAGGCTCAGGGAGCAGGGAAGTGTCTGTTGGTCACCAACTGTGGATCTCACTCAGGTCACTTCTGGCAGCTGCAAGAAAATGTCTCTGCATGATTTTGCTGGGAGGACAGATACAGGAGACACAGGCAAGAACCCAGTGTCCTGGCCACAGGGGGCAACAGGACATCCTCCAGCCTCCCTGGGCTTGAAAGGTGGAAGGGTGTGCACCTGGGTAGTCCCCAGGGTGTGGTGAGGGACCCAAGAATTATACTTGGTTACTGCAGTGACTTGGGCCTGTATCTGGATACCCTACAACTTGGAAGTGATTCTTTTCCCACTCTTGTCTGTAGGTCACACCCTGATGGATGCCTGGTGTGGACGATGAGGGAAGAACGCACCTCTCACACCAGAGAGGTAACCTTGGAGTGCACCCTGGATGACCTTGCGACCTGGAACAATGCGGCTGGCCTTCATGTTCTCATCCATCCTGCTGTTTGGAGCTGCAGGCCTCCTCCTCTTCATCAGCCTGCAGGACCCCACAGAGCTTGCCCCCCAACAGGTGCCAGGTGAGCCCTTGTACTCTCTACTGCTGTCACCGGCTTCCTGCTTTCCTGCCAGAGGCACAGGCCTCCAAGACCACTCTGATGTACTGAGCCTGAGGGACAAGAGCCTCAGCAGGCAGAGGAGGGGTCCTGGCCTTTTCCTGGCAGGCATTAGTGTCAGTGTGGGAATGTTCTGTCTGATGTCCAGCTGCCAGCCTCAGGGCTCTTGGGGACGATGGTGAGATTTTGTCTCTTGTTGCCTTTGGTGAAACTCAGATTTAAGGAATTTCTGCCACCTCTTGGGGCCTTTTCTATACTAGGACGTCAGAGAGTGAACCCCATGTGAGACTGTTTCCCTTCCCCAGGAGCCAGCCATAAGACCCCTTTGAATCTGGCCTCTCTGGCTTGGACAGAATGGCTTGGGGCACTTCCTGGCTTTATGAGGCCAAGATCCACCCCTGTTGCTTCCCATTCCCCTGTGCCTTATGACCCACTGGAGAAGAAGAGCGTCCTCCTTAAGGCACCAGGATCTGGTGAGGACAGGCAGATGGCTGTGAGGTGAGAACAGGAAGGTGATTCTGGCACCTCGAGCAGACAGAATGGAACAGGGAGCTGTGCAAGGCCTCCACTGCTGGACTGGGGTGGGCTGGAAGTCATAGGCATGGAGCCAGGGCCAGGGGCTGCTCTGCTTTGGAGTGAGAGGAAAGCAGGTGTCCAGGCCCAAGCACCAGTCTGTCTCAGCAGTGACCTCTGTAAAAGGAAGGTCCCTGAAAACTCCTACTCAGTTCACACACTGAGGATGTGGATACTCTTGCACCCCACGAATAGCCCTCTTCCTGAGGAACACATGCATGTACACACACTTACTCACTCAGTGCCCTGAGCCAGGGACAGAATGAAAGACATGGGGAGGGGGCGGCGTATACTTAGGCAGACAACTTTTTGTGCTGCCCTGGCTGCAACCTGTAGCCTGGGATGAGGGTGCATGGCCTAGGAGCACCTGCTCTCATGCTGGAGCCCCATGGCATCCTCCCCAGCCCCATCCTCAGCTCTCCTGGCTCAGGCTCTCAAAGTAGAGCTACACCTTTCTCTGCACCTGTCAGGCCTGAATTGTTTTGCTTCTGCAAACAGGAGAGATAACCCATGATGTGTGACCCTGAGCCAGATTGAAGGATGTAGGCCTTGGGAGGGAGGGAGAAAGACTAAAAGGAGGTCAGAGCCCACCTGGGTCTGGAAGCTGCTTCCAGAGGCCCCATGTGTGGGAGGCCTACGAGTGGCACCTTTCATCACAGAGAATGAGCAAGAAGCAGCCACGGTGGTGGGCCTAGCAGAGAGCAGGTGAGCCCAGTGCTGATGCACATCCTGCCTGACCCCTACAGCTTGTGGCTGTTGAAAAAGTTGGACTGCTCCTTGGCTTGTGAGGAAGCAAGGATGTGTGACCAAGCTGGCTCCTCTGGGGACTTTGCAGCCTCTTGGGAGCCCTAAAATAGCGGACGACACTGGGTCATCCAGGCAGGATCCCCCAGGACAGCACCAGCAGGGGAGAATGAGAATTGGTCCCTGTGGCTATGTGTCATTTGTGCAGAGCAAACTCGGGAAAAGGACGCTCAAGAGCTGCTTGGGCTAAAGCCTGTCCTGCATCCTTAGGGTGCGTCCTGGTGTGTTTGGTTGCAGGCTCACACATGGACAGAGGGTTCAGGTGTCCTCTGTCCCGAATTCTATGGGGGAACAGCCAGGGAGAGAAGTCACCTGTGGTGGACAGGTGTGTGGGCACTTCTGGGACAGTATAAGTATAGTCCTGGGTGAAATGGTGCTGTGGTGGCCACAATATGTGCCTTGCTGTGCTATAGCCAGCTGGCCAAGCAGCACTTGCTTCTGCAGGCAGAGCTTCTTGCTTCAGCTTGCACAGCTGCCAGATGTGTGGATTATAGGTGGGTGGAGGCCTACAGGACAGCTGGGTGTCCTGGTGTCCTCAGACAGGAGATCAGAGCCTCAGGCTGACAGTCCATGTAGGATGACGTGAAGCAAAGGCAAGCATCTCCACAGCTGCCAAGCCCAGGTGAGCAACACGCCTGGATCTTGAGCCACATACGTCTGTTGGTGAAAGCTGGTGGGCGGGCTATCCTCACCATGTGCCATGTGCCATGTGATGGGCATCCTCGATGTTCTACATAAATCACACCAAACATAGTCATAAAACTTTAAGTAATGCTTACGTTACTTTCCCTGAGCAAAGTACTCCTGACACGAGCTGTTTGTGTTGATTTGTTACTATTCATTTATTCTTTCCCTGTACTTCTCACAGCAGCCTAATTGTGATTCGGTACCAAGAAAGCAATATCAAAGTAATTTTCCACAACATTAGTTACAATTTTCTTCTGATCTTTCAAGTGAAACAATCCCATCCTGTTGGCTTCTCTGAGCATATAAACCTTGATTACATTTATCTGTTGGAAACTAGTGCTTACAAAGTGTATGTGTCCAGTTGCATGGCTGGGTGGCCCCAGGAACCCCTGGAAGACTCCTCCCTGTGGGTTTCTGTCCAAGGGAGGTGCAGACGAGGGAGGCTGCCTTGCCATCTGGGTTGGGCAAGGCCACTTAGGGGGCACCAATCTACACAGGAAATCTCACATGGCAGCATAAATTTTCCTGAGAATGGATGAAGTTCTCTAGGATCTGCCATCTGTTGCACCACAAAGGTGGGAGAAGGAGGGTGGGCAGGTGAAAATCCAGGCATCAGCTTGAGAAGGTGATAGGAGTTTGTCATTGCTTCTACTCCCTGGGGGTCTGGTGTCGGCCACATCTTCTTCTGCAGCTGCCATGTGTTAACAGTACCTGAAAATCTTACAGGCCAGCCAGCCCTTCCCACCAGGCTCATGCTTTGGATAGAATCTTAGAGTTGTCAACTTTGGTAAGTCGGGTCATATTTAAAACACTTTTTTTTGCCATATTTTAAATCAGTCTTTCTGAAACAGAGCTACGTGTTAACCCATTTGAACATTGAGGTTAGATTTTCTTGTGTATCAGAGAATTCTACCTATGCAGTTACAATTATTTGCCAGTCTCCAGTTCTGCCAGGTCAGCTTCACTTCTGGATGGGAGACCAAGACTCACCTCTCCTCCCAGTGAAAGACTCGGAGGCCAGGCCAAAACTGAGGATAACAAACCCCAGCACACGGGCTCTGGGGGCTGCAAAAGGCAGGATCCACATGCATTTTGTCAAACTGAACTTTATGAACTCCTTTCCCTGTGAATTTTTTATTGGAATGAACAGTACACTCAACCCTGTGTATCTGTCACCCAGCACCCCTAATCTGGCCAGCTTGACCCAAGCCATGCTCCATCTCATCCTTTCTTCTGCTTGATTTTAAAACTTATACCAGGGGTTGGGATGTAGCTCAGCAGTGCTGTGCCTGGCAAGCACAAGGTCCTGAGTTTGACTCCTGGTACCAGAAAAAAAAACTTATACCAGATATCAGATCAATTCAGCCATAAATGTTTCAATACATTTCTCTGTTCAAAGTTAAGAACTTTTCTTTTTAACATTACCACTAAGCCATCCAATAGTTTAATATCATTGAATATCTAGTCAATATTCAAACTTCTAATTGTCTCACAATTATAAAATACATTTATTTCCATTTTTTTTATCCAACATTCAGACAAAGGCGTACATTGAAGTCAGCTGATGAGCCTGTTAAGTCTCTTTTCATCCTGAAGATTCTCTCTTTGTGTTTATTTTTCTCTGGCTATTTATTTAAGGGAACCAGGTCATGGGTCATGTAGAATTTCCCACAGTTGGAATTCTATTGATCTGACCTGTTTGATACCATTCAATCTTTTCTTTATTCTTTTCATTCTCTATAATTAGTTAAATCTTGCCAGTTGATCAGATATCGGTTTGGTTGTTTTGCTTTTGTTTTCTTTTGGGGGACAAAAATTTGTGCGTCGTTCTGTGTTCTATCAGGAGGCCCAAGTCTGTCCGTGAGTCACCAGTGATCATGCCTAGGTGTATCCGTTCATTAAGTGTTTGCACAAAGGCCTTGATCTCATTTTACCATTTCTCTGCATTCTTTTAAGTGGGATGGATTTTGTTTTAATGGGGCCACACGAGTTACTGTTAGTGACCCATGAAACCAAAGTGAATAGTGGATTGATTGTTATATAAAAATATGACCTGATGATACAGATTCTGTTGCTATAGATTCCGTTGCACATACTATAAATAGTTCTCTTTTTGTGTTAATGTTTGGCTTTTGCAGAGTGAGTTTTCTTACAGCGGGACCACTCCATGTTTAAAGCTCTTGGGTGTTTGCTGGAGTCCAGGTTGTGGGAGTGGTGCTGGGGTGACAGTCCTAGGAGACAGCAGAGCTTCCTCCTCAGGGACCCCTGGTATAGACAAAGGGACTGGATAGCCTCTGAGACTTCTCAGTCTATAGCCTGCTCTGGAGTATTTCTCGTAGGGCACAAGGGCATTCTAAGATAATAATAATAAGCAAATCGAGCATTTACTGTGTGTCACATCTTGTGCTAAGCACTTTATACATTTCAATGCATGTAATTCTTCTCATGCATGCTTTCTGTTTACAGACAGCATGCTGCAAGCTCACCAGGGCAATACAGATGCAGTGACAGTACTACTACTACTGAGCACTCTAGGGCCTTCATGATGTGCCAGGCACTACCAGAAGTACTTTCAATGCATTTAATATGCATTTAATACCTTAAATCTGCATAAGTTAATTACTACTACACTATTTGAAAGATGGAACTACTGAGGTGAGAGAGGTTAAGAATAATGCCCAGAGCCACACAGCTTCTGGGCTCCAGAGGTGAGATGTGCTTTAGGCAGCTGCCTGTGACCACACACCTTTCTGCCTCCCCAACACTTGGGGCCCCCCGGTATTGCCATGGTCTGGGCTGAGAGAACAGTATGGATAAAGGCTTGGAGGCAGGAGAGCGTGTAGCATATGGAGAACTCCAAGTGTCTTGAGGCTGGACAGTGACCCGTGGCTGAAGACACA